CATTAACACCAAGTGACTTTAATACATAGACAAAGAAAGTGTGTCAAGTCCTTACAGTTACAGTAACTGCGTTTCCATTAACCATAAAATTGCACAAATTCAAATTACAAAATCAGTTTGCTTAACCGAAACACGGCAATTTCGAAAAAAAAACTCGCCATCAATGGGTGGTGTGTGGAAGTGGTGAGGAGAGACGCAGAGGCCCAAGTTGTAGAAGAAAATTATGAATTTGATGAATATAGCTCAAACATAGTCCAACACAGGCGGCACGGCAGAGAGTTAGCACACGGCTAATTACCAGTAGCAACTGAAAAGCTGAGGACTGACGAAGGGAGCTAAACCAACACAGGACTATACAGTTCCACTGTGACTGCAGGCAGACAGACGACAAATGGATCACAAGAGACAAAGACAACAGGTGGGACTAAACACACAGGGAGGGTAATCAAGGAATGATACACACCTGGGAAGCAATCAATGGGGAAGACGCAGAAACAACAGAGACTCAGGACAGAAACTGAACACAGAAAAACCTTCAAATAAACACATAGAAACACGGATCATGACACACACATTTTTCGGTAAAAAGTTTTTAGCGCCATATGATGAGGTGGTTTTCAGGCTGCATCGAAATACATCTATATACATCTAAAACTGCATGTACATTGATCAACAGTACAATGTTACTACTGGGAGAAATGTTGAAGAAGGCAACAGGAAGTAGTAGCAGGATGATGGTTTGTTTTGGGGGTTTTTTTGGACAGTCTGCAGCTGGTTCCACCAGAGCTCTCACAGCATCACAATACAATAAATCATCCCCAGCTCTAGGTCATTCACGTTTGAATGACACACAACACAAAATGTTGTGTCATTCAAACGTGTTGAATCCATATTTCTTCTGTAAAATTGCAGACTACAATTTTCCCAAAACGATGCATATGAAGCCGCTCCCAAGTAGGCGGGGCTTGTCGCTCCAAAGCCTGAATGAGACCTGATCTCCTCTGATTGGCTGACAGATGATGATCTCTAGCACCATCACTGAATTATGAATATATCTAATGTACCCGTTTTCATCGGTCACTTACATGATTTTAATGACTTATCGCGTGAACAAGTTTATTCACATGTGATTTTAATTTCACTTCTCTAAGAACGGAAACACCGCAACTGCGAAATTGCGGGGTTTTTTCTTTTCTTTTTTTTTTCAAACATTAGCAAAATACAGACAAAATTTCTGCGCACATTTATAATGGAAACACAGCTACTCTGTATGTCGGGACACATGGCGGGTAAAAGCAGCAGATGAATGAATGAACGGAATGAATGAACGAACACACGCTGGTTCTGACTCGTCCTTCTTACACAGACCTGGGTTTGCAGGTATCGAGGAGATTTGAGTTCCAGCAGCTCCTCTTTGGTGACGGTGGGAGCACAGCAGCAAAACACCTGCTGGAAGCCTGCTCTGAACCTGCCGGTAGAGGAGGGGTGGGTGGTACACAGAGGGAAAGGATTAATAAGCGGAAAGGATTGTGCACACAAACCCAGATTACAGCCCAACTCATGGCAAAACACCCACGCTGACAGACAACTCGCCTTTTTTTTTTCATGCTAAGCAGCTCACCTGCTGTTCAAGCAGTAGTAGATGACTGGGTTGTACATGGTGGAGCTCATGGCCAGCCACATGACGGCCAGGTAGACCTGCTGGATGTAGCGCTCCTCAAACAGTTCGGGGAAGAACTGGTGCAGCAGGAAGTAGACGTGGTACGGCAGCCAGCACACGGCGAAGGTGCACACCACCACGATCATCATCTTCACCACCTGCCAGAGGAGGTACGGTGGTGATGTCTGCTTAATCTCTCCGGCTGCTTTACATGTTAGGGATTAAAAAAATCATCAGGTTAAATGACGGGTTCGGGTGTTGTTGTCTGGGTTACCTTGCGTTTGGCGATGAGTTGCTCTGCGTAGTGTTCAGATGAGTCTCCTGGAATCTCGCTCGCCCACAGGGTGACGGCCACCGTCATGTACGCCCATCCCATGATGCAAAGGGGCAGGAAGTAGATCAGTACGGTCACGCACACATAGTAGCTGCGGCAACAAAAACGCAAGCAGGTAATCTATTAAGGAGCAGTCGAAGTTGCAGTATGGAACTTTTATAAAGAATAGAATATTTACATATTTTTTGAAAGTGTCACTATATTGTGCCAGTAAGAGGAAATTTGCGGAAAAAAAATCTAGCGCTTTTGCCCTCTCCCAGTAACTAGAAACAACCAATCAGAGCCAGGAGGCGGGTCTTAGCGCTGTCAATCAATATCTCGTGTGGTGCTGCTCATCCCTCTCTGATTACCCTCCTTGTTCACAAGCTAATTAGCATGGACTCCAATGACAAACGGTTTTCCTGTAATGGTAGCTGTTTCTCCACCATTAGCACCTTTAGCAGTGAGCACAACAATCAATCAATCAAATTTTATTTGTATAGCACATTTCAGCAGCAAGGCATTTCAAGGTGCTTTACATAATTAAAAAACAAAATAAAAACAGCATGTGACATTGAATAAACAGTAAGAAAGAGAAAGAGATTTTGGAAAAAGAAAAAAGATTTTTTTAAAAAAGGAAAAGATAAAAACATACTTTTGTTACAGAATTTAACAAAAGTACGGAATTTAAGCGCCTGTCGTCGCCGGACTCCGCTGTCCGTTTAACACGGGTATTATCCAGGCCCTGTCGCCTAGCAGGACAAGTTCTCCAACCTTGCAGCACCAGGCTCCTTCCACCTATCACGCAAATCTTTGTGCTAGGACTTACGGATGAGGCACGCCATCACACCGTCAGAAAACGTGGAGAATAATTCAATCACAGTGACAGACTTGTCACGGATTTTTGTGCACTATTTTTACCTGTTAGAGTCTAGAATTTACAGGGATTTTCTGTGTGCGCAATGTCCCTCAGTAACTCGCCACTTTTATATAAATAGATAAATAGTAAAGATAAAAACATCGAAGACATCAAAACCCTACTCTAACCCTAATTTAGCCATAAGCAACTC